CCAATTCCTGACGAGAGAGGCAAAGCTCCAATTCACGAGCGTTTGGGCCCGATGAAGAAGCCCAGAACGACTCAACATACTGGGGGTCGCCATCACCTCCAGCATGACAAAGAGCTCAAGGCAGCTGCGCGCACCAATTTGCGCATTGAAGTCCAAGAGCACGCCGAAAATTCACGCCCAAAAAGGCATGTTTTGAGGCGGGTAACCTTTGAAAGCCCAAAGAAGGCAAGTCAACCTCAGATGGAAACATTATCATCTGATAATGATAGTGTTATACCTGAGAAGTCGTGCCCGCACACGATAGGTTACTCCGACTGTCAAAATGACGAGTTGTACTATCGTGCTGGGGGTACGAATAGAACCAGGAAGAGGAGTCCCCGAGAACAGGAAATTCAATGTCCCTGTTCCAAACTCATTCGGGCGGTATTGTCTGAATGCAATTGCATTAAGGCGGTCCCCGAAAGAGTTTCAGTTTTTGAAAGACTCAGTGCGGAGACGCCAAAACCAAGGCCTAGGCGCTTCCAACGAAGAAGAAGGGTGATTGAAGACGGAGAATTTCCGAGGGTCACCACCAACATGACGAGCAAAGGGACATCGGCACGGGGTGATTTCGAGTCGATTCTGAAAGCCTCCCGGCCTAGAACCCGTCTGCAGTCCGGAACCATCGAGCGAGCAACCTATGGTAGGGTTCGGACAAGACGCCCTTCAGAAGATGAAGAATCTGATGCCGGCTCCGCGGTTGCATCAGATAATACGGTATCCAGCGAGGGACAACCCCGCGAGGCACTTATGATAAGTGCGGAGCAGATGGCCAAGATGCTTGAAGACGCTTTGGCTAAGCAGAAAGAAAGTTTCAAGTTTGAGATGGAGATGGCCATGCAGCAGATGAGAGAAATGCATGACCAACAAATCCAAGCATTGGCGAACCAACAAGGCGAGCAGAATCGTCGTAACCCGGTTAATCTGGAAGATGAGGATACAAATGCTCAGAATACCAATGATCATCCTGTCAATGCAGGGGGTGGTAATGAGAATGCCAATGAAGACACAGGCGAAAGTCTGAAGATCAAGAACCTCGAGAGCAAAATCAACACACTAATTTCCGCTCAAGAGACGAAGAAAACAGGCATTCCTTGCCCATACCCAAGAGAATGGGAATCGATCCCATATCCGGCGAAGTTTAATCTAATTAACTTCACGCCGTTTAATGGGATGGGTTCACCTACCCAGCATTTGATTTACTTCAAATCGCACTTGGGGGTGATCTCTGGTAATGAGCCTCTGATGGTGCGGTCATTCGTCGGCACTCTTCGCGGAGCCGCCTTCGATTGGTATCGCCGCCTCAAGCCAGGCAGCGTAAATAGCTGGGACGACATGGAGACCAAGTTCCTTGCCAATTTCTTCGACGACGACACCGAAGTATCTATCGGATCGTTGCTTGATGAGAAGCAGAAGGACGGGGAGTTAGTCGACACCTTCGTCAAAAGGTTCCGGAACAAGGCGATGAATTGCCGGGACCCGATCACCTAGGAATTCATCCTCCAGACCTGCCACAACAACCTTTCGCTGGACGTGTTGGAAGCAATGGGCACAGCACCATCCAAGACATGGAAGGATCTGAAAGTTCGAGGAGAGCAAGCTGAGCGATTCCTCAGGAGAAAAAAGGTGGAGAGAGGCCAACCGTCAACAAATCCTCCGAAACAGAACTTCAACCAAAAAGGAAAAGGTAAAGCTCATGCTAATGCCGTTGATGCTAACCAAACTTTTCAATTGCAACCTCAGCAACAACAGCAGCAACGAGCGCCACAACAATCCCAGCCGCATTGGCAGCCACGGCCTCAGAAACAAAAGTCTTCGGAGCCGAGGTTTCCATCTTCAAATACTTGTTGGAGAAGAACAAAATCCAGCTGCCGGCGGTCGTGGATCAAGAGGGAGCCAGCAAGGTGACGGATCCAAAGTACTGCGCGTACCACAGAGCGGTCCACCACCCTACGAGATCATGCTACCACCTCAAGGACAAGATCCAGGCGTTAATCGACGTAGGGGTCATAACCCCGAAACCAGCCAAGAATGTGGGGGCAAACGCAGTGTCAATCAGTTTTGGATCGGTGCCCACAACATGGTTCGAGCCGAAACGCGTCACCAAGGTGGGAATGAAGACGGTGAATGATGACCCACATGGACAGCGCCAAAAAGGGCTTGTGCCACATACAGCCCCAAACGGCGAAATCCTCTGGGTTCATCCCGATCTGATTGAAGATGAACAATGGGCTGGATCGTCATCCAAGAAGAAGTCCAAAGAGAAAGGAAAGTCTTGCTGCGGAGTCTCTGCTATCCCCGGAGAAGATGACGAAAGAATCATAGCTTTCCCGCTCTCTGAAGAAGAACAAGAAGTTTTTGCGACCCGAAGCGGAAACGAATATCACTACAACTATCCGCCACTTAGTGAGCAGGGGGTGGACAAACGGGGACCAGCAAACGAGTATCACTACAACTATCCGCCACCTAGTGAGCAGGGGGTGAACAAACGGGGACCAGCCAAAACTCTCACAGAAATGGGGGTGATTACGAGTCTCACACCGGGTAAAGAAGCTCTACGACAGCCGGTAGATAAACATAAAGAAAAGAGGCCCGAGGAGGTTCAAAATCCGAAGCAATCTCGTTTCAGTCGTCCGATTGGAAAGGATAAACCGGAGAGTTCGAAAACTCCACGCGCCTTCGACATCATGGCTCAGCTAGCTAATATTCCAGCGCGGATAACGCTATATGAGTTGCTGCGGCTGTCTAAAGAAACTAGAGAAGAATTGCAAGAGGCCTTGGCCGATTCAGAAGCATTCCTCACTCGGATCAAACCGGCGCCTGAGGAACTAGAACTGTTAGCTCAACAGTGCAATGTGGCAGCTAAGAACATTCCCTGCATCACCTTCACCAAAGAAGACATGCAGACGAAGAATTCAAACCATGATCGGCCCTTGTATTTTGTCGGGTACATTGGCTCCAGCGAGGTCAACCGAATCCAAGTAGATCCGGGTTCCGCTGTGAGCATTATGCCGCTTCGCCTAATGCATAGCCTTGGCATTCCAGTCAGCAAATTGGCGTCTATAGGCACTGTCATTTACGGATTCAACACCAGCGGGTCAAGACCTTTGAGGAAGATCCGAATAAAATGCCAAATGGGTGATCTGAAGACGGAAGTCACGTGTTACGTGATAGATGCTGAGACATCCTATAACTTACTATTGGGTCGGCCTTGGATCCATAGTAATGTTATAGTTCCCTCCACCTTACATCAGTGTCTGAAATATGTCGACACTGATGGAAGGGTCAGGACGGTGGTCGCAGATAAGCAACCATTCAAAGGGTATGAGAATTACTTCACTGATTCTCTCCTTTATGGTAACGAATCTGACACGGAACCATCGATCCAAGGCACGGACAGCGGAGAAGAAGCTGATTCCGAGGCCGGATTCGATTACAATGGCGGTTTTGTTTTAAATGACATTGTACCCTTTGTAATCAATCTTGACGATGAACAATCGTCAGATGGCGGTTGTAACTGGCAACTTGCTGATATTGAAATAAATCATGATTTAGAGTACTCCTTGTCTCTTAAAGGGATTATATGATAATCCCGATTTATTTATGCCGCTCCGATCATCTTATGTAACGAAGAGAAGTCTCCAGCATTCTTTCGGAACAACCCGAATTATTCCTGCCAAGGTAGGGGGACAAAAGGAAGTGATTTATGGTAAAGGAGAAAATCTTCCGTTGCCAGATCATTTCCTAAGAGAAGACGAGGATGAAGACAAATCTGGTCTGCATTTATCTAAGTATAGTCCGGAAGCGCGCATGCTCATGGAAAAACACGGATACAATTTCACACTCGGAGAAGGTTTATACTTCGATCGAGGATCCCGTATCCCAGTCAAAACGGCATACGTACCAAAAGGAAAACCCGATGACTATTACCGTCACAAGAGAGGCTTAGGCTATGTCTCAT